TGAAACTCCTTTCTTTGAGTGCTTCATCGGATCCTAAAAACTCAAATGAGTCCTTCAATGCCGATATTTTTTGTACTCTTGCAAGGAGGTTCTATCCCGAAGATTTTACTAGTCGGGATATTCGTGCTTTGGAATTTGAGCTGCAACACTATGTTCACGATCGATGTAATTCCTAATACAAAATTTCAAGTATCTACACTTGTTGAATTATGTGAGGAGTTCACTAAGAGCAGAAGATCTGATTCATATGTTATGGAGAGCAGATTGATTCGCTTGTATTGATCTTAGCTATTGCTAAATCAAATAGAGAGCGATCATTCTCTCTCATGAAACTTCTAAATACAACACTCTACGACAAAATGGCGGATGACTTTCTTGCAAATTTCATGACACTTTATATTAAAAGAGACTATACTCTTAGTATAGATGTAGGCTCTATTGTTGACTCATCGAGAACAACTTTAGTGGAGAACTTTTATATTTTTTTTCCTTATTTGAAAATTTTTAATGTATTACTCCCTCCGTCCCACTAACAATGGGACAAGAGGGAGTGACACGCAAACTAATAAAAAGTGAGTTATGTGGTTGATATTGAATTAATAATAATAAAGTAAGAATAAAGTAAGAATAATTTGGAGCTACACAAATTTTGCCTAATTTGGTATGGGACAATCTTAGTGGGACGGGCCAAAAAAGTAAAATGGGACAATCTTAGCGGGACGGAGGTAGTATCATTTAAATATTTCAGCCTACCCCAACATGAAATCCTGGATCCGCCCCTGGTTGATCTCATATAAGACAAAGAGGTGTGGCTTTAATTAGACACACAATTAGGCAGGCAGATGTAGGGGTGAGGGGAAATACCGAAATTTCGGTATACCGGACTTACCATATCGAAAAATACCGAATTTACCGAAATGTTTGGTATACCGACACTTTTGGTTTGGTATGATACCGTACCGAATTACTTCAGTATGGTATCGGTATATATTTTAGAAATAAACGGTATACCGCTATACCGTCATACCGAATTCCAAGCCAATAACTTATTTAAAATTATAAAAATAACTAGAAACACAACACTAATTCAAGGATAAATGACTTTATATCCATCTTTCTTGAATCATTTATACTTTTTGTTGGAGATCAATTTTATTTTAATTATATTTATGTTGTTTGAATTTTTTTAGTATAATGTTTTGTTATCTTCATGTATCAAGTGTTGAAATATCTAAACATAATTATAATATTTTTTGTTCAAAGTTGAATAGAACATCAATAGGTTATCATTGGTATTTTATAATTAATTTCATTAATGATTGTAGTATATCACTATCAAAACTGATTTTCAATAGTTTATTTGACATATGATATTTTGTTATATTAATCATGATAATTTACCGATACTGTACCTTACCGTACCGAAATTTCGGTATACCGAAACAAGATATACCGAAATTTTCGGTATGGTAACGGTATGTATTTTTGCATACCGAAAATTTACGGTATGATAAAGGTATGAGATAAAATATTCGGTATACTGTACCGAACCACCCCTAGGCAGATGGAACAATGTACTATTGTAAGTAGCAAGTCCATGTCTTATTAATTAAGTGGGACAGTTGGTTATGCAGGTTACACAGCAAATACAATCTGGGGGCTATGTATGCTGCTTTCTACAACTAATTACTCAACCAATATTTCAACCATTAATTTATGAAACAGAGACTTATGTGTAATCATCTGAACCACTTACATTTAATTAGTAGTATTAATCATCAATTCATCATCTTCCTATTTCACTATATATACATATATCCCATAAAAGGGTGTATCATCATCATCATAATCATCATAATTATCATCACATCATTGGTGCACACATCCTCTGAAGGCTCTGAAGATGGCAGAAGCTTATTTCAGCCATTCTTTCTTGGATAGCAAAGAAGAAGAGAATATCATAAAAACAGTGGTTTTGAGTGTGTTTTCATGGTTAACGCTGTTTTTGTTGACCACAAGGCTTCTCTCCAAACGCTCTTTCAATTTCTGCAACCGGACCGTTTCTGTCATCCATGCTTCATTGGCTGTGACGTTGGCTACTCTCTCTGTTCATGATTGGTCCTGCCCTTTTTGCCCCCTCGCTTCCAAATCTACCCCTCACCAGGTAAATGAATACACATGATAAGTGATCACTACACCGAGGATAAAGTTGTCTATTTGTAATAATTTATTCGACTTATTAGCCAACTTTTCACCAAACACGAAACTTGTGATTACGCGCGCTGAAATGTGTAGTAATAAGAAAAAGTAAGGTTGAAGTTACTTTTCTAGTTTTCTGGCTGTTTCGGCTGAAGTTACTATAGAGGACCATTTTATCTATTTTACATATATTTTTTCTTTATTTTATTAATAAAATATATTTTAAATTTAATTTTTTCATAAATCAACAGAGCCAATACAACCATTTAAGCCAGAACTTCATAAATTTCAGCAGGATCAGCCGATTCAGCCAATTCAAACGATTTCAGTGTTATCAAACGGGCTCTTGTACTTTCTCAGTACTTAAATAAGTGCAAAATCTTTAATTTTATATTATTCACATGGCTACCTTGATTACACTTTATTTATTAATGTATTTATAAAATATTAATTTTCAAATAATGTTACATTTGTTTCATTGTAAATTTTCGGAATTTGATTTTTAATTTTTTTTACTAATAGAGAATAATATATATTAATGACCAAAGTTGTGCATTGGCAATCGTGAAAAGTAGACTTTTGAACTTATTTAAGAATAGAGGAAGTATTAATTAATAATTAAATTTATATATTTAGAACGATTTTTTTTCTGAACATCATAACAAATTATTAAATAAATTATACGTAGTACTCCGTATAAAATGTGCGACACATGAAAATATTTCTACATAATTTTACATTTGGAATCACTAGACATACTGAAATTTTTAAGATTCATTTGAGTATTTTTTTGGTAATTCATCAAGTTTAATTCCAGTATTCGTATACAGCTTTAATTTAGCAACTTATTCCTCATCTAATCTAATGTTGTGATCAATGTACCTTATTGTCAACTGTCAAGAAAGTTTTTTTTTGTGTATTCTTTGTATAACTGTTTTGTGAAATGTATTTCAAACTTGGTGCTTTTTGAATAGTTTCCCAAATCCTAACTGATGTTACTGGGCTGGGCCGGTTCACTGGCAATAAATGCAGATGAGGATTTTAGCAATCACTGCTGGCTACATGATATATGATATGGGATGTTGTTTATCACATAACAAATTGAAGGTTGATGATTTGGTGCACCATTTGATCACCATTGTGGGGATTGGAGCTGGAATTGCATATCAGATGGTAAGTTGAATTCACTATATTGTCTAGGTTTATTTACTTATATATATTATTCCTATGTGCTCATTTTAGAAGTTTTTCACTGATTCTCATCTTAATTGTTGATTGGGGACATGTTTAGTGTGGAACAGAGATGGTGGCAGCATTGTGGATAGCAGAAGTCTCCAGTCCTTTTCTCCATATGAGGGAGCTTCTCAAAGAGCTAGGTTATAGAGACACCATCCTTAATCTTATTGCAGATGTGAGTTCAAGAACTTTTAAAATCTTAGGTGTTTAGAGCAGATCCCATGTTATACACCATACTTGAAAATAACTATATTGAGGGTAATTATGTGTTCTTTGTGGTTGTTTGGAATCAAATGGATAGTTGAACAATTTGTTAGTTTTAGTTATAATCGAGAAAAATATCCACCCACAAGCTGTGTCTGGGCCTGACCCGGTAGCCCGCCCTAACCCGGGACGAACCCGGACCGGTAAAAACCCGGTAAACCCGCATTTTTACACGAAAACCGGACTTGGTGAATGAACTCCATTAAAAACTTAAATGCCACAGGGATTCAATCCCTGGACTTCATGTTCAGCATGCGGCCATCAAACCATCTCGACCATGTGTTGGTGTGGTAATGCATTCGTTCATTTTTCGTATAGTACATATTTTCATACTACAATTATTTATTAATAGTGGTTACAATAATAACTATTCTTTGCTATTGATCACTATTACTATATTAAAAGACTACTTCATATTTTAAGTATTTATTTGATCTATGAATCATACTTTTAAATTTTTATATAAATATTATGTTCAGATGTTATTCATTTAAGTCCAAACATTATGATTTTTTTGGAAAAAATTATACATCAATACATTATTTTTAATTTAATCTTATTACCATTATTCAATTTTGAACGAGTGACTTTTCGGCATACAACTTATATATATCTAATACATACTCCCAGGTATATACATATAATTTTATTTTTTATAAACGTTGACCGGGTTGGGGTCATTGACCGGGTTGACCCTCCCAGGTCTGGGTTGACCCTTGACCCGGTCTCTTGCCCGGGTCGCCTCCTGGTCCGGTTTTGACAACATAGCCCACAAGAGGAAAACAATAACCCATTTGGTAAACAAAAACTGCCTTATGGCTTATGTTGGACACTTTTAAACATCTAAACTAAACAGTAATTGCCTTATGTTCAGAAAACTATGAAGTACTTCTTATTCCGCTTATGTGTTCGGGCCCACCCAGATTTGAAATTTATTTATATTTCTAGTGTAAAAATATATAAGTAGAAATTTATTTGGAAAATTCTTTACAACTGCTTACCCCAACTTTTGCTCCTGAATACACCCTGATTCAGACTTGTACAGTGGTAGATGTACAACATTGCTGATAGCCTGATATACGGTGGTGATTTTTTCACAGATTTGCTTCGCAGCCATTTTCTCCTTTGGCAGGATGGTAGTAGGATCCTACCTCGCTTATGTCACTGTATCTGCAAATAATCCCATTCTAATCAAGGTATTATGTCACTATCATCTTCTCTGAGGAATTCTGTATAGTAATACTCCCTACTATAATGGGTTTTTACTACAGTAAGTTGAAATTATGTTTTTATGTGTGCAGGCAATGGCTGTTGGGCTGCTGCTTGTCAGTGCGTTCTGGTTCTACAAGATCTTAAGAATGCTTACATACAAATTATCCAAGAAAAATAAAATCAAAAGTTTCAATTCAAAGAAACAATGATGGCAATGTTGATAAAATACATCTACTAGCAGAAGAGTTATTGTTACATATGATTCACCAAAACTTTTGAGACTATTTCTAGGTTTCTAAATTTATTCAATATATATTCTTAAACCCTTGGCATAATTTTCCATACAGATACTTTCCTTTACAAATGGTGTTTCTTGTTTTGCATTTCTTGTGCTTCTGTTCACATGGAAGGGTTTTGGACACAAGTGACTTAATGACCCCTAGAAAGTAGAAATCATATCCAAAACCGGAAATACATGTCCAGTTTTGGAGATCCTGGTACCCAGTGATAACATGACCTAATTTAACAAAATCCTGGTACCAAAATCCATTACAGCAGGTCTGGTTCTATCGTGAAGGAGGTGGAAAACCAACCAAAAAAATGCCCAGCTTCAAACAGTTCAGTTTCCAGTAAAAACCGTATCACAGTCTACATGGAACAAATGGTCAAAATCAAACAGAAAAACTGATACTTTAAGCAGTTAAAGGCCTGATTGGCAAGAGTTATTTGGTTCAAGTGGTATAAAGCCGAATCATTTTGCACGAAAAAGCATTTAATAGAACCAATTCATCCAGATAAGTATATCAAGTAAATTAGTCTGCCAACAAGTAGAATAAAATCAATACAGTTACCAAGTACGGTCTCTTAATATCCACTGCCAATGTTTGATATTACACATTCTGCACCAAACATCACAAATGGCACGAACACCACAATGCAACTTTAAGCTATCGAAATCCTGTTTGGCCAACTTGTTAGTTGTTACCATGCACACACATACGGACATATAGAAGGCAACAAAAACAAGTTTATTAACTAGATCAAAAGAACACCAAATGTTCAAAACCTGAAAGAAAAAAAAGTTTTCCCATGTCAGAAAAGAGCCATGTATGTGCATACTACACTGTTTTCTGGAGGGCAGGGTGGGAGTTGTCTTCATCTATTGATGCATCAGCTTAAGTTCTAATTACCATGCGACACTGTTTTTACATCCCCATGCATCTACTTTCCCTGGGGTCACTATCGAGTCTCAATAAGAAGCATTTTTTTCAACTAGTCTTTTCCGAAATCTGAATTGTAGTGAGAACTGGATTCAAGCTTCTTAGCCTCGTTGAGCTTCCGGACAGCCTAAAAATAACAATCATGATAGTTATCTGTTAACTTAACAAATAGCTATAATTATATCGCATCTGTTCTACTGGCATTCTATTAAAGAGGGACATTATAAGCTTTTTCCAATAGTATAAATCACACAGAAGCCATGAGAAGATTTAAAATTTGGCTACCTTCATAAAGTCTTCATGGATAACATAATCTCTTTCTGCACGGATAGCTGACATTCCAGCCTCAGTACATACATTCCGGAGATCAGCTCCATTGAAGCCCTGAAAACAATTTAAAGATTCATAATTGTGTAAAAATCAAAGAAAAGAACATATTAAAACATCATATATACTAGACACTAACTTCTGCAAGTTTAACAACAGCTTCATAATCAATTTCACCATGCTTAGCTATCCCAGCAGCATGTATTTTAAGAACTTCCATTCTTGACTGCTCATTTGGCAAAGGAATTTCAATCTTCCGGTCGAGACGTCCAGGTCGGAGAAGTGCGGGGTCAAGAACATCAGGTCTATTTGTTGCCATTATCATTTTCACCTACAAAAGAGATTTGTCAAAATAAATAAATAGTTAAATACATACAAATATTACTAGGCATTTGAACTTTCATAGCAGATAAATATGGGAACGTATATCGTCCTGCTAAAAGTTACATAATTCTACAGTTTGATCAAACATTTTATCCACAAAAAAATAGAACAGATATTGCACTATACCTTCCCAAGCTGATCAAATCCATCCATCTGATTAAGTAACTCCATGAGTGTTCTCTGAATCTCACGATCAGCACTTGTTCCCTCACTAAAACGTCTTCCACCAATTGCATCAATCTCATCCATAAAGATTATGCATGGCTGTTAAATAAAAGAGAATCATTAAAAAAAATTGAGTTCAGAGATGATAGACATCCATTTGATTATATGTTCGGGCTAAAGTAGTCTAACCTGATGATCACGAGCATAGTTAAACATTTCTCGAATCAACCTTGCACTTTCGCCAATGTATTTATCGATTATGGCACTTGAAACAATCTACAAGGAACAAAATGAGAGAATGGAATACAATGGGCCAAATCTAAAACACCAAAGAATGATCGGAAATCTGCAGTAACCTTTAAAAAGTTGGCATCGATGTTGCTGGCAATAGCTCTAGCAAGCAATGTCTTCCCCGTACCAGGAGGCCCATAGAGAAGAACACCCTGAAATCATAGACGATGCTTCTTAACTCTTAAGCCACAGACCGGAGTACATTCATACTCTGTTTTTCAGTTAAAGATAATGAAATCCCAAAACTTCTTTAGGAGTTCTTTATGTAGAAAAATACCTTTGGAGGCTTTATTCCAACCCTAAGGAAGAGCTCAGGATTCATTAGAGGCAGTTCAATAGATTCACGAAGTTCTCTAATTTGATCTGACAAACCACCAACAGCAGAGTAACTAACGTTTCCAGGATCCTCATGGAGCATGTTATAAATCATAGGGTCAACCTGTAGAATAACATCACACCGAAAAATGTTTGATTAGTAAAATATACTAACAATTGAGCCACACAGAACAACTATTCTAAAACACTTATTCAAGCATTAGGCCAGAGTCAACATTCAAAAAAAAACTAATGGATGTTTATATGGAGGATTTTCAAGGGGAAGGGACTATGGAGGGGAAATGCTGAATTTAATATTTTACTTGATAGCCTTCAACAGTAAAAGATAAAAATTGATAAACTAGTATGAACTGCGTATCATCAACACTTATTAATTACCGTAACCCCACCATCCCTGCCACAAAAAGCATCATATTCCCAAACATACCCTAATGTACACAAAAAGAACTTGCATGACAACAAAGGGGTAAGAATCAGACCTCACGTGGGAGACCTCGCATGATGGTGAGGGTAGTCATGTCAAGGACAACCCTAGTTCCAGCTATCAATTTTTCCTTGTCAAGTTTATTACGGCAGCCAACAACGTATCTTGGGCCACTGCTTGCTTTGACAATCACTAGAATAAATGAAAATGTGATCTGTTGTTAACCATTCCAATACAATAACCAATGTCAATGAATTCAATTCAGATGCTTATGTACCCATGAACAAAAACCTCATGCACATACTTTCCAATGAGAAATATACGAATATGGGGATGCAGGAGTTATAAAGCATGATTACCGAATATACCGATGCAATGTTTTATTACAGGCAGGCATGGTTTAAAAGGTGTTTACAGGATGGGTTTTGAGGCTTAGGTTGTTCTGTGCAGGACAAGAGGCTTACACCTCAAAAGTCAAAGTGTATGTCCTGAGGCGCGCCTTGAGGTGTTTTTCTGAGGCGTTTTTCCTTGGCTTCTTTCCTTTTAATGTACTGGTAGCTTATAAAGGCCCATACATTAAACATGTGTCTGCGCTAAACCCTAACAAGTCTTGTTTCATTTAAATCCTAACAGTTAAAATTTATTCATACTTCTGCACATACAAGCAGATGGGACACCAAGGAAAAAATAAGAAAAATGAACAAGTAATGGAGGTAAACGAAGAAAAAGACAAAAGATTTTCGGATTTTGATAGTGATGATGGAAGGGATGACCGTGACAAGGGCCTTGTCACAAGGCTATAAGATATAATGATTCTTCCGAAAACCTTCCAGTCATTATGATTAACTTTCGAGAGTTTTAAATTGTCATCTGCATGATGTGTCTGTTTTGTGTTTGAATTCTCATTTTGAGTTATCGTGTTTGATAATGTGATCATATATGTGCTTGACCTTGAGACTTGGACTTTTATTATACATATCTATAGTTGGTCATTAGTTTCATTACTAGTTTAACTATTTTAAGTTTTACTTGTTGGTAAATTTTGATACTTACGCCTCAAGGCCTACAGAAATTACATGAAGTTCCCATAAACGACCCCCCCACATACGCACACAACAAACAAAAGATTAAACCTTTTACAGGTAATATTACATGATGTTCCCATAAACTTACCATTGCGGGTAATATTAGAATAGTGGTTGAAGCTAAAGTCACTTTTAGTTTGGGATAATGATTTCAGAAAGCATAGGAAACCAAATTTTGAATTTTTCCAGTGTTTGTTTACCCAAAATAGCTAACTTTATGATTTATGTTGAAGAACCCCAATCCATTTCTTGAGGAAAAACATGTTCCCTTAGCTACTCATGAACGACCATATTCTATTCCTGTCTATTCATTTCTAAAACAAATGCAAGTAGTATTCTGTCTCCCATTCATCCTCACTTAGTCTACCATAACCATTCTCTCGAGGAACTTATACCATATTCACCATTGATAAAAAAAAAAGGGTATATATACGCACGTGTGACTAGGGATGAGAATCATAACAATATGTATGGGTCATGGGATACAGAGTATAATGATAAAAGAATCAGCGACAATGTAAAAGAAATTACTTCGTTCATGGTCAAGAGGCCGAAGAACTTCACCAATAATCTGACCAATGCTCTGTAGAGACTTCAAATCATCCTCAGTTTTATTGAAATCCTTCTTTGCAGCTCTCAAATTATCCCTTACTGCATTTTTATCATTCACAAATAATTGCATTAAGCAAGATTCAAGAAAGACAAATAAATACTCAGAGTCACAGTCAGGCATCCAAATCTTGAGAGAGCAAACATTATGTTAGAATTAGAGCTAAAGAAGCACATAAATTCGAAATGCCAGAAATTATCAAAGACAGCACCTGTTCGAAGTCTAGATTCGAGCTCTTTGTGCTGAAGTAGCTTCTTTCGGTGATCTAAGATGGTATTCCGACGATGAACGGCTTCATCTCCTTCATTCATATCCAAAATGAGAAATTTGATCGGAAGACAGGATATTCAAGAAGCTGGAGTTTAAAGCATAAACTGTGAAGATAAGCAAGAATGGAGTTTTGAAGTTTTAAGTTTTAACAGCTTCAAAGCGGTAGAAGCCACAAATTTTCTACCGAGTATTATTTCCAGAATATGATTTGGAGTGTCTCCCAAGCTTCAGCTTC